ATTACACAAAAAATGGGTTCTAAATGAAACTGAAGTCTAATTTTAACATAATGCAGTACTGTCCTTGGTTTTAAAGCACATACTGCATAAAATTACTCCTATTATTAGATGTGAAACTATTTTTTCCTGTATTATCAACATATGATATAAAAATAATTATTTAGATTTATCTTAGATTAATGGAAGGGAAGAAGAAACAGTATTTTTAAAAGGCTTATAAAACATCAAGCTTAAATGAATTCTTGCACATGTTCTTTAAATATTAGCACTGGTTGCTTAGCTTGAAAAAATACACAGCTGGGAGAAAAGAAAATAGGGCATATCAGGAAACAATGTTTTGTGATGTAATTTTCTTCAAAAAGCTCTTCCTTTTTTCTTTGTGAAATCCAAAAACCATGATAATGGGAATAACAGTAATAATAACAACAACAATATATAAAGAAGTAATATGATTTTATCAAGTCAGCTTCTGGTTGGGATTTTGATAGGCCTTTTTGACTCAATTATGCAATTTGATCTGTCATGTCAATAAATGGTGAGTTAGCCAGGATGCCAAATTTGACTAGTTTTTCAATCACATGCTTTGAAGATGATGTAAGCATGTTTTTCTATTTTACCAGGAAGAAAATGTGTAACTCCAAATGGAAAAAGCCAAATATGGCAATAGATTAGCCTGCAGTCATGTCCTAAAATGGGTTTTTTGATTGAGATTAATAAAGGCACTCTTCAGACAGGATAGACCACATTGTTAATGCAAAAATTCCTTAAATGTATCCACTACTGGACAGTTGGGACTAGGAGGGAACCCACTATGCTTTGGAAAGCTAAGAAAACATCCAATTCATGGCATTTTCCCTCCACAAAAATGAGCTAAGTCAGCAGGTCAGTATGTGAAGAATTTCAGAGCTGGATGAATAGACCAATAGACACAAGATACATTCATGTCACTTCATCTCAGAAGCTGCAGGATTATTCTGCATATTGATGGGAGGGTCTGTTATCCATTTGTATTGCTAGTATAAAATCCTACAATTTCAACAGTCTGATGTTACAGCTACATGGTTTGATGATGGTGGTGTAAAGAGGGAGGGAGGGAGGGAGAGAGAGAGGGAGAGAGAGATATTCTCTTTCAATACATGAAACCCCCTGCTCAGGCAGGAAACCCTATATTCTGTACCATTTCAGACAAATGGTTGTCCAATCTCTTCTTTAAAACCTGCAGTGTTGGAGCACCCACAACTTCTGGAGGCAAGTTGTTCCACTGATTAATTGTTCACTGATTAATTATTCTGTCAGGAAATTTCTCCTTAGTTCTAGGTTGGTTCTCTCCTTCAGTATCCCTCAGTTAAGGTCTTCTTCTGATTCAATTTAGGAAGTTTAGAAACACACACACACACACACACAAATAGGTGACACACAGCTCCTGCTGGGTGCCAAAGAATGTAGGACAAAGAGAAATGTTTCCCTTGTCATGTTACTCACCTTCCCTCTACTGCAGGAATCAGGCGGGATAAAATTCTTATTATTGACTCTTCACCTTGAAAACTACAATAGCTATTTGTTTATGTAGGCATATGAGCAATTTGAAAATATTTTATATTTTTTAATGTTCCAGGAATTAGGAAAAGGAATTAGGTATTTACCCTCTCCCGCTTTCTGCATTTTAATGTATTAATTCAAGGAAGACTGCTTATTATTATTTAACAAAATGAAAATCATCTACCCTTTTCAAGAAAGTTATTTTAAAAAATGTTGGTAGGTTCTTAGTACTTTTTCCTAAGCACTTTTGAAGAGAGAAGCAGAGTGGAAATTTGTTTTCTCTAATCCTGTCAAAACCACCCAGAGATTAGTTATTGGTTTCTTGTCTTTTGCCAGCAAATGCACTTTCATTTCAGACAGCAGGACACCATGCACTACAAGATCAGTCACAATAATGAATATATCATCTTTATTGCCTGAAATCACATTTTAGAAGTTTTTAAAGGTATTTCGCAATAGTACTGTGCAATGGATAAGCTTCCAAAGAATATCACATCTGAGAAGCAATCTTCTGAAAATAACATAATTTAGATGGGTAACCTGTGACTTTCCAGCTATTGCTCCTCCCAGCCACCCCAGCCCATATCACCAAAGGTAGAGCTCTTGGGAATGGAAGCTCAATTATTCCTGGATCTTTTCAGGTTATCAGGTCCTGTATATATAAACACAGATAGCAGTGATTCAACAAGTTGTCATCTGGAAGATCCTTTCTTACTTCTGAGACTCACTCTAGATGCTCTTCAGAGTTACTAGGGGGGGGAGGCATTGATCTTGCAAAATAATAATTCCATCTATAAGAGTCATGGTAGTGCAGTGGTTAGAATGCAGTATTGCAGACTAATTCTGCCAGCTGCCAGCAGTTCAATTCTCATAGGCTCAAGGTTGACTCAGCCTTCCATCCTTTGGTAAAATGAGGACCTAGATTGTTGGGGGCAATTTGTTGACTCCCTAAACTGCTTAGAGAGGGCTGTAAAAGCACTATGAAGCGGTATATAAGTCTAAGTGCTATTGCTATTGCTATATAATTACATATTGATGTTCTGTCCAGAAATCAGCATGCATATCTTTAAACTCCAGATAGCTTATGAACTTCTGGAAATGCATTATGATTTATTGCCATATTCTAAAATAAATTCTGTGTGTGTGTTTATGTTTGTGTGTGTGTGTGTCCTTAGTGGCATGAGTAAGAATATTACTGTGGGTTAGGAACTCCTGACTAAAGTTTACACATCAGATTCTAGGACTAGGTTCACACAGCCTTCTGAAACAACACTCCCCCAAAGATTCACAGCCTCAGCACTACTTGCCTTCAAGGAAACATTGAAGACCTTGTTCTTTTCACAGAAATTAGGCTGGGCCATTAAAGGAATCAACCAGCAAAGTTCTATTAGGTGGAATTGTATCACTGTAGGAATTCCATTTTAACTGTTATATTGTTTTTATCCCATATTAGCTGCCCAGAGTCCTATACCAATGGGTGACTATGAAGGTTTAAACGATAAATTATAAACAACCAACTAGGCTAAAATGAAGTTGGTAATTAATAGCTTACATGCTATGAGTGCCAGCCTTTGTTTAGTATACTGGATGAGTCAAAGCTTGAATATAATTTTTTGTTTAGACATATAATCATATGGTGTCCCAACATAAGAATTATATTTTGTTATCCTAGGTTGGCAGTTGTATGAAGCTATCGCAGCAGGCACAGCAAAAACAAAACAAAACACCAAAATCAAATGTACAGTATTTAAACTGAATGATAATTATGATTACAGTTCTGTGTGCTAACTTTAGGGCAAAGTTTATTCAGTGGAATTTACTTTTGAGTAAACTACACAAAACATTGCACTATTTATACTGCAAACCAGTAGTCAGTATATGTATCTGCAATGTGCTTGCTGCTGTTGTCTGAATTTTGGATTTTTTTTCCTACCTGCTGTGGATTACATCATAGCATTCAGTATATATTCATATAAAAGTGTGAGAAAGAATGATATGAACACTTATATGCACAATCGCTTGACATGTAAATGCAAATTGAATATGTAGGCACAGACGCAAACACATTCATCCCAAGTGGATTTGCAAAATGTCTTACAAGTATGTACGGTACTTGTTCATGAATAATAAAGACTGATTTTTATGTCGTTGCTTCCCTCTAGTGGAAAATCATTAAAGTAGGACTATGTTCATAGGCTTTTCCTGAAACGATTGTTAATGCCATGAATCCTGCATTAACAGGGACTATGGTATAAGGAAAATCATCAATGGCTCACTTAGAAGCTGTAAAGGAAACTAGTGGGACTTATAACAGAGCATCCTTCTGCCTTTTTATCCATTCCAGTCTTTCTCTTCCTGTTTTTTGAAGCTCCACTGAGGCCCCAGGCTCTTAATTATTTTAGTTTAATGAGATCCCTCAAGCCTGTGGATATTCCCTCTTGGTCCCATGCACTGGATCAGCATTCTCAAATTGAGTTTCTTATTGGTTTACATAAAATGCAGTAAACCCCAAGCATTCATTCATTTATCTCCTTTCTATCATTAGCCTGAAATCACGAATAAGCAAGATAGGGTATGAATGCAGATATGCACAATATGACCTAGTGATGCTGTAATAATTTTTTTGATATGTGAAAATAATTACTTTGTGAATATGGGATTCTGACTTAGTTGGAATTGGGAATCATACCAGGATTTTTCTTTTTTTGGGAGGGGGGAAGGGGATATTATGTCTCATAATTAGTCATGTTTGCTCTAAGGAAACATTATAGATAAGCAAATTTATGAATACATTCAGGACTTAACGATCAATGTCTTAAACCAATATCTCTGGAAAATACATTGGCTGTAAGATACACGATGTAGCTCTCACCCACCTGTCTACTCTGCCTGCCAGTTTGAAATTTATATACAGATAAATCTTAAGATGCTTCCTTTCTGCCTAATCCCGATGAAACAGGTACACAGGAAACAAAAAGATGGTTTTATTATACCGTTGTGTTTTCCCTACAAAAATATAAAATATATACTTAGTACAACATATTATACTAACACAAGTGTTTTACTCAAGTTTGTAATTTAGTATATTACTATGTCTTAGAACAATTAGATTCATGCTACATATTTTTTTCTCTGTATATTGCACATGCATCTGTTTCCTAATAACTAAAGTGTCACGTTTCTGATAAACAAGACCAAACAAATCAGAACTCCGAGGCCTGAAACTTCCTCAAAGAACATGTTTATTGGTTACATAGTATCAGCACAGTCAAAAGTGAAACCAAGTCTGAAATTCTCTTCAAAGAAAGACAATATTACAAAGTTGAGCTTCCCACCCCAAGCTATGCAATCAGCTATGTTCCCCAATAGAATAGTTTGGCGGGCTTTCTAATCAAATACTCATGCCCCCATCTAACTGACAGAAATGACCTTGGTTCCCACAGGACAGTAAAATGTTTAGACTAGCGGAAATCCTCCACACCCCCTCCCATTCCTGTGGCAACCTAGAATGAGCAAAATGGCTGCAGCCAGGTTCATTGTAGAGTTGACATAAAGGGGAGGAACTGAACTTCCTTGTCTCTCACTTAACCAAAATCAAATGCAAAACAATCCAAATTTTAAAGAAAATGACATCAACCCATATATAATATCTTGCTTTTCTAGAGGTTTCTAAAATTATTCCTGTTTCCATCATCTCATACATTTGCTTAAGGCTGCACTCCTATAGATTTAATAGTGATTACTCTAGAACACTGTAGACTTAGAGAATAGATACATAGTTTATGCTCCAAGATTCTTTCCCCCCCCCGCAGAAAACATATATTAGACACATATATTTAAAGATACATATTTAGATATATGTTGTTTAAACAAAAGTAGAAATAGGATTTAGGAGATTCTATTACCATGCCTTCAGCTTCCTAATCTGGAGGAGAAGGATACAAATATTATTCTGTGTATCACAGCAGTAAGGAGTGAATCTATATCATCCCACTCTATATTATTTAGACATAAAAATAACTTGTTTTATATAACGAATACTTGCACAGCATTTCACTGTCAGATTATTGTGCAGCCACAACAGTATCTTTCTGGATAGTCCAGGGCATAAACTTTGTTCTCTGTTCCATAGATATAATAAATATATGATTTTGCAGCATATCGATAATGGACTTCAGTCACAGGAATTAGCTCTATGGTCTGCCGCTGAGAAAAGAAAAGAAAATATCATTGTCATCAGATATAATAGAGTTCTCATGCACTCTACTAGCTACTGGAAATTCTATTTCTTGTTTTATTAAAATATATGCATACTTTGGGCATGCCCAATTAGCATCTCATGAATATTATTTTAGTTCAGCTTTCTGACACACTAATGTGGACTCTAGAGTTGTGTGCATGTTTTAAACACCTTTTAGCTTAATGTAGAATAAAAACAATGAAATCTACTGTGTGCCACAATAGAACCCAGAAATAAAATAGATAATGTTAATGTGTTTTGAGTTTTCTCTCTCTTTCTCTCTATTATTTTACACACACATATATATAGAAAATATTGTAAGAAATAAGTGGATTGTGGACTATGAAATTATTCCCTTTACATTTAATATATTGGGTATAATTTGGGGGGAAACACTGTAGCTTGTATGCATACAATAAATGTATGAGGGTCTTTCTATTAAGGGATTTGGCAAACTATACCTATGTCTACTAAATGTGCCATTTGCCGGATAAAAAGAAGACCAAATGTGGATTTGTGGACTCTGACTTCTAAAGCCATTATATAAAAGACTCAACAAAATTTATAAAATGCATATCATATATTTTAGTTTCCTGGGTTATTGAAGCACAGATCAGAACTAGAAAATATTTAATAACTGTTCCTTTAAACTGAGATTATTATTGAATGTGTTCCCATATATAAGCATGATGAATTTGACACCCCTTCCACAATCTAAAATACCACATAAGAGTGCTGATTGTGTGACTTACATAGAAAATTGGTTGAGTCTCACAGCAAATAAACAACTAATACAATCAGAATGTTTATCCTCCCAAAAACATTGTTTTATTGGGTTGGAGGCTATATGTGATGGGCAATGTTATCTACATTACATATTTAATCTGTGTAGATATAAAAAATATTTTATAAGTTCAGCAGGAGAATTTGCATTTTTCTACCATATGATGTGAAAGAAACATGCCTTACAGAAGGCATATATTTTGCGATGAAGTTGCGTCTTTACTAGATAATCATCTTATTCACAGGGATAAAAGAAGCAAGAAGGATAAATGTAGATCAATAGTTGAAAAATTTACTGCCATTGTTTAGGTGTCTAATCATTACAACTGCCTGATTCTCCTAGTGCCATCCTTAAATGTCAGAAGTTCTGGAAGATGCAAAAATTTAGCTCTCTCCCAAGCTACTGACATCTTTATCATTCCACAACTCAGACAAATTCAACCTAGCTTTCACATAGTTTCAACTTACCAAATAAGTATTCACTTCCCACTATCTCAGAACCTATGAGAGTTTTGTTTATTTTATTTATGCATTTATTGAACTTTTATAGTGCCCATCTACCCTACAAGGTGACCCTGGGTGAATTACAAGTTATAAAATAAGTAAAAACATTACAATATTAAACCATTAAAACTGCACAATTAAAGTATGGTTTAAAAAAGTACTGAAACTGAAACTAAGAGAACTAAGAGATGGGCAGGACTGGATGAGGTCTTCTTACCCTATCAGCCACCTCCAATGGTGAGCACTGTCCTCTGGGCATCAGGCAACCCACAAGCCAGCTTTTAACATCCTTCTGTGTGTTAAAGGGTGGGGACAATTCTCACCTCTGGCAGTAGAATGTTTCACAGGGATGGGGCCACAGCAGAAAAGGCTCTTCTCCCTGACCCCACCTGCTTCAATTCCTTAGCAGATGGGATCCATAGCAGGCCTCTTCCACTGGCTTGAGTGGGATGAGTGTGTCCCATTTGGGAGAGACAGATCCTCACATACCCTGGACCCAACCATATAGGGCCTTAAAGGTAACAACGAACACCTTGAATTGGATCCAGAAGCAAACCATAACCAATGCAACTCACACAGTAACAGTGTTATGTGTGCAGTCTTAGGAGCTCCCAGAACTATGCATTCTGCACCAGCTGCAATTTCCAAATACTCTTCAAATATCACACTCCCCACATAGAGATCAATGCCACCCCTTTTCTCTGGTCAGAGGTTGGTACAAGACAGATTACAGATAGAATGACATCACTGTCCTTACCCAACCGAGTCTGGGTTGGGTATGGGATATTTTCCTGTCATGGATGGATGAACTCTTATTATAGATAGATCTAGAGTTGACCTGTAACATTTTGAAGCAAGGAATTCTGACAATCTGATGACCTACACTAGGTCCCAGAAAGGAGCTACCTGCTCAGAAGCAGAGATAAGTGGATCTCCATTTATATGGAACAATTTACCTATTAGTCCCCAGTTCACTTTCCTTACTGAGTACTACTAGGATAGAGTTGCTATGCTGCCTTGGTTGCATGTTTAATGTATCTCTTCTCCAATGACCACAGCACTGCTGACTTGTAATGCTAATATGTTCAGGTTCATCTCTCCAACCAAGACAGCCTCTCTTATAGGAGCAGGAGCAACAAGCCAGAAACAGACCTAACTGGACACAAGTCTTGGCTCTCCCAAGCAGTTTTACTATTGTGTCCTGGTCACTTTTCTACTATTCCTCCAGTTCCAACCTCTCAGTCCCGCTTCCATGTTCTTCTAGTCCAGTGGTTCTCAACCTTTTTAATGCCGTGACCCCAACCGGTCGTAAGTCGAGGACTAAACCGGTCGTAAGTTGAGGACTAAACCAGTCGTAAGTCAAGGACTACCCAACCGGTCGTAAGTCGAGGACTTTCCCTGCCCGGGAGCGCCGTGCATGCGTGGTTCTGCCCCCTGCGCCGGCCGAGGCATAGCTGGCAAGCGGCAGAGACGGAGCAGGCCGACCACCAGCTGGCCCAGCCCAAGGGAGGTAAGGCACCCTCCGGAAAAGGGGGGAAAAATGGCGGACAAAAAAAATGGCAGACAGCCTTGCTTGGCGACCCCCATGAAATGATCGATCAACCCCAAATGGGGTCCCGACCCACAGGTTGAGAACCACTGTTCTAGTCCATCTCTGGTGGGGAGAGGGCAGTAATGTGCCCTTAGTTCCAGGATCTATCCACTTTCCGATCCTTATAGGCAGCACTAATATTCCTCCAATACTCATTCTAAACTTTCCTGTATTAGAAGCAGAAATTTTATTAAAACTATTTGCACCCTGACTTCATGTTCAGGGGGAAAAGAAAGGCAAGTGATGTTTACAAGAGAGAGTGGCAAGGGTTGAGAGAAATTGGGAAATTGAGAGTACATATTCCCTTTGGTTCAATTTTCTGCTTAGAAAACATTTTATTTTGGTTTTTTTTCATCTTTATATACATTCCCAACAGACAGAGAAAATACATTTCTTAAGAGGAAGAGTACTTCGCACTTGAAAAGGCTGGTGTCAGAGACACTTTTAAAGCTGCTTGCTTTTATTTATCCTTTCCTTGGCATGAGCAAACCCTTTCCATTAAGTGAAAAACAAGCTCAGCGAAAGCAAAGTGAACGAATAAAAATGATTCAGTATGCCATAATTCCAGAGATATTCTGCTCGTACCATCAGTGCTAGCTAGTGACATCCATAGCAGACTTCTGCCCTGAGTCCTGGCAATTTTAGCAACACAAAAAGCATTTCAAAGCTGTGGGAGTCCTTTAAAGCAGGGCTCTTCAAACTTGGCAATTTTAGGAATTGTGGACTTCAACTTCCAGATTTCCTCAGCTAGTCATGCTGGATGGGCAATTCTGGGAGTTGAAGTCCACAAGTCATAAAAGGGCCAAGTTTGAAGACCCCTGGTCTATGCCTTTCAACAGAGATACAGTAGTTTTATATACAATGCAAACTCGTGCCTGTTGTTCGTGTCTTCTCTCTCTGCTTTTGTTTGCCTTTTGTCCTATCTCACAGTCTTACAGTTGCCAGGTTTGGAGAGCCCTGCTTTAAGGATAAACCAAAATCCTTTGGCTGTAAGATTACAGATAAACCAAAATCCTGAAGTAAGATTACAGAGTTTTACAGAGGTTTCTTCCCAAATAAGAGTGACAGGAGTGCGGTTTTTGAAATTCAGATTTTCCCTCAAATACATCTTATTTGCACTGGCACCAACAGAAGTGTTCAAAAAAGACAAAAAGTGGCACTAGTGCAATGGAAGCCTCACCTCTTTGACACATGTGTCAATGTCATGCGCGTGTACAAAGGGCTTCAGTTGTGTTTCCACAACCACCCTCCTGGTTTTATTGGCACTATACCCTGAAGATGCCAGAGTTAACAGAAGCAGAACAGAGAACTCTTATCCATATCCTAGCTGCAGCTTCAAGATTGCTCTAAATTTAGTGGTGGGATTCAGCCGGTTTGCACTGGTTTGGTAGAACCGGTAGCTAAATTTTGTTGAGTTTGGAGAATCGGCTGAACCTATGCTGCTTCTGGAAGTCCATTCTAGGCCTCAGAGGCCTAGAGGAGTTCTCCCAGGCCTAGAACGGCCCACCAAAAGTGTGTGGATGTCACTTCTGGAGGTCCGTTCTAGGCCTGGTGGAGGCCTCCCAGGTGGGGTTTCCAGCTGGCAAGCCCAGGGTCTTAACTGCTGAGCCATTATGTCACTCATATGATAAATATAAATTCATCCAGTCATTGACTGTAATCTGGATCATACAATATAATGTATCAACTCCTCATTTTTAGAGCACAAAGATTTTTCAAAACTAGATAATGAACTCACAGCCTAATCCATTCCTTAAAAGCAGGAGAGTGACTTTATTTCCAGTCACATAGGATTATCCTCTTTGCCGTTCCTCAAAGCTTCTCTAATCTTTAGTACTTCCATCAATCCTCCTCTTGAGAAAAGGACAATAAATAGAAAAGGCTTCCCTACCCATCACATCCTTTAACCATTATATTCACATAGAGGCTTTGGTAGGTTTCTAAACATTTAACAGTAATTGATTATTGCAGCGAATATCTTGAAGCTCACTCATATCTCCTCCTGAGTAAATGTGAAGACTGGCTGTGTGAAAGACAGAATCAAGAAAGGTGGAACTACATAAATGGTGGCTAGGGATTACAGGAGCA